GGGTAGTTCAGTTAGATATTAGGATCAATGAGGCAAGGAATTGTTGTAACATCCTTATTTCATTTTTCGTTAAGTTATGTTTATTTAATATTAAGTAACATTCGAGTGCATTTAGAAGGGAGTATAAAGGATTTTTGTAAGGATTGTGATGGAGAAGATCTCGCTAAGGTGAGGTAAATCTCGCCCAGGCGAGATTGAACGTGTAGAAATATCTTGTTGTAGGGCTATCTCGCTCAAGCGAGATAAGATAAATGTTGCCTAACTGTCACCTCGCCTAGGCGAGAGTAATCTTGCTTAGGCGAGCTGGAGTTTTCATCCAGGCGAGATGGGTCGCTCAGGCGAGAATGCACAAGAGAAATACCATGCTCTTTAGACATCATCTCGCTCAGGAGAGATGGGTCTTGCTCAAGCGAGCATATCAAAAAAGAGGGTGCGAGACCACTGCCTGCATATCTCGCTCAGGCGATAGACCCGCCACTCAAGCGAGATGTCCCTTGCTCAAGAGAGAACGGGCAGGGTTGAGGGATATCTAAGAGATTTCTCGCATGAGAAATTCATTCTATTTCAAACTCACGTTCTTCTCTCAAGTTTTCTCTGATATCTCTCTTCCTTTTACCTAGATAAAAGCCTCAAAAACTTCGTTTTCTCTTCAAAGTTGAACTTGGACATTGGAGCAAATTGACTCTAAGTAAGTTTCTTCTTATTACACTTAAGTTTCTCCGATTATTTTCCTATTTTTGTTTCTTAAGGATATCTCTTGGTGTTCAGGAGAACTTCCATAGTTGACTCTCGATCCTTTTCAATATATCTCTGTGAGCTCATCATCGAGAAAAGGAGAGCTCTATTTGATCGTTATCCTATAATATTTATTTTATGCTCATAGAGCACTCTTATATGAATATGGTATAAGAATAGATGATTGAGATACCTGTTGTGTGGAGTATGAATGAAAATATGTTTGTTTGATTGTTTAGACTGATTAATTGGCTGGGTCAAATGGCTGATATATGCTTACTTGCATTGTATGATGAGTACTTGATATGGAACTTGCTGAGTGATTTTGTGTGATTTTTTGAAATATATTCGAGTAAAATGATATAAGGTACGATGTTGATATCAAATGATTTATGGTTGAAATTGTATCAATGAATGTATGCATGGAATGGACTTAGTCTAGAAGTACTTGACTAAGCACGATTTGATGAGTGAGAAAGAGAATAATTTGAGAATGACCTAGGAGTCGGATATGAATTTGATCTAGTGTGAATAGTTACAAAGATACACTGGGGGGTATAGAGTCCGGAGACAATGAAAATTTGGGAAAAACGTAGGTTGGTGAGCGACATTCGCGTATGTGTACACACTCTTTATGAGAGCAAATGCGTCACATGGCCTCACACTTGTTTCCTTACTAGACTCCTGACTATGCCTTTACTAAGGAGCTGATCATTGTACATGTTGTATCTGTGTGCATGGGCTAACCGGTGACTATTTACCCAGTTGAGTAAGACCTCGAGAAGTGTTGGAGGCATTGGTATTTGTGATCACAGTGCATTAGGAGTGTGCGTTGGAATAAGAGGAAGGAAAATAGATAATGAATTGTTGATTGTTATGTGTGATGTGAATATGAATTCATGAAATTGAATATGTTGTATTTATGTTAAAATTATGATTTTTTTTATGCTAAGTGTTTGCAAATGGATGGAATAGACACTCATCCTTACTAATAATTTCAAGGAATCAGGATGACAGAGCCTCAAGGAAGGATTAGATTAATAGATAGTTCTGTACATTTTAGGTTAAATTATGTATTCAATGAGTATCAGAGGGTAAATTATTTTAAATTTGCTGTACTTGTAGATGATGAACCTAGGGTTTTTGTTATGATAGAAATGGATTACTCTTGTAGTGTTCCTTTTGACTTTCCTAGGAGTAGAATACACCGGACTCTCTGTGTATATATGCATAGAGGCACAGTTAAAACTCTTGTAGCCCTCATGTATCTATTTACCTACCATGACCACAACTCTCTTGGAAGACCGTTTAGATGGACCTTTAAGCGCATCACTAATATAAAGATTAAAGCTGATTTGGGTGATCATTACCTGAGATTAGATGAGGATCTTGATTTGGAAGACCTAGTTGAGATAGAGAGTTGGGACGCTGGAGATGAGTAGGACTGATCTTCAGTAGTTGGTTTTGGAGAAATTGCTCTAGGACTTATACTTGTTTGTTGGATTGTAAATATTATGATTATGTATGTATTGTGTTAAGTACCATTCATTTTGACAACAGTTTGTATAGTTTGATGCTAATGTATGTAATTTATATTTAGATTTTCCAAATTGAAGAATACTTAGTGCAATCGTGATGTTTATTTATTCTTCACAATATTTATTATTATTGTTATATTAGTATTGTCAGTTTTAAAATTTCCATTTATATATAGAACTTAGAGAAAATTTTCAGAAATTTGCTATAAACAATTCATTAAATTCATCAAACGATATTTTGTATTAAATGATTAAGAATGATTTATACATTGTATGAATTTTGAGATAAGGATGTTACAATTGTCCTTTGATTAATCTAGTGAAATTGATTATCAATCAATTAAGGAACTTAGAATTCAAATCTACTTCAGTTTTACAATTGATAAAGAAGTGAAATCAATCATAACTTCATTCACATATTATTTTATTTCTAAATTCGTATCTTTGTTTTGGTGTAGATTTTTAATTTCTGCACTTTATTGCTTTTGTTTGTTAAATGATTCAAAATTTCTACAAATTCATTTAGCTCAACTAGTTATTGATTTGTAATGTGGTAATTGATAGACCTTATATCTGAGGATGATACTTGGGACTCACATTGATTTCCAAATTTTATTACTTACTATAACTACCTAGTACACTTGCTAGTTAGTATTCTCTAATTTTTGTGACACAAAGACCGCAAGAAACATGAAGTGAAGTGAAGTGAAGTCAAGAGTTGACCATCTTAAAGCTTTTGGGAGCATAGCATATGTTCATGTATTCAACTAAGGAATATCCAAGCTTGATGACTTTTGTGTGAAGTATGTGTTCATTGGTTATGATACAAACTCAAAAGATTACAAATTATACAACCTAAGCAATGGAAAAATAGTAGTGAGTCAAGATATTGAATTTGATAAAGCTTAGAATTAGGAGAGGAAGAAAACACTCATAACTTTTTTCCATACTTTAAAGAAGGAGATCAAGGAGGCCAAGTAAATGGGTTTTCTATTCCACTTCTTTCACCAACTCATGAAATCTCATCATCTTCTAAAAAAGGTTCGAGTGAAAGGTCTAAAAAACATGAGAAGTCTCCAAGAATATATAAGTAAATTAAAATGATAAATGATTTCTTTTATTTGTTTATTGAGTGAACCTTTGTATTTTGATGAAACTATGAAAGACCAAAGGTAGAGAAAATTCATGAACGAAGAAATCAAAGTCATTAAGAAGAATGACACTTGGAAACTATCAAATCTTCCTTAGGGTTATAAAGCAATTGAAGTATAATGGGTATTTAAAATTAAAAAAATGCCAATAGATAGGTAGAAAAGTTACTGAAGGCTATAGGCAATACGGTGTTGATTATGATAAAGTAGTTGTACATGTTGTTTGCATGGAAACAATTTGTCTTCATATCTCTTTGATAGTTCAAATAAAATAGAAATTTTTTCAAATTCATGTCAAATCGACATTTTTTAAGTAACATAATTTTTTAGAAAAAATGGACTAGTCAGTTAGAGAGCTTCTAGAACTCTATTTAAAATCAACAACATTTTTTAAATGTGTAAATGTTAGATATAATGTCTATAATTAATTTTGAGCTTGTCAAATTGATTAGACAACTTTTGTTCTATGAAACAATGATTATAAAAAAATCCTAATTATTTAGAGAACTCATCTAAATGATTGTATATATTTTAGACTATTTATATTTTAAAAGATCTTTTAGAGTCTATTTACAAAAGAAAAACATAGAAAAATGATTATATAGCATCTTCTCATAAAAAAAAATTGTAGTCCTTGTTTCTCTTGAACTTATTATATATATCTTTTAGCTATATAGCTTTAATTTGTATCATCTATTCTTAATGGAGAGTTTTTTTAGAGATTCTTTTTCTTTTTATATGTGAAAAGGTGAGAAATTCTCTTAATGCAAAGATAGAAAAACTATTGAAAGAAGAATTTAAAAAAAAATTTATAAACAGTATTTAGATACTAAATACAAGTCATAAGTGATTGATATATAGCCGAATTAAGATAAATTAAGTTTACACTTTTTAAAAAGGCTAAATATCCTTCTCCCATGATAATCGAATCATATATTATTAGGAAGAAATTGTTTTTAAGAATACAAAGCCATTGTTCTTTGAAATTAATTACAAAAATATTTGTAAAAATATTAAAACCTCAATTGAACTCCCCGTCGTGAGTTTTGAGGTCACTTGGTAGTAAAACTAAACTAAAATAGTGGTACAAAAATTTTGTCTATAAGAAGTCCCTAATCTTGGCTCTTTAACCCCAAAGGAAAACAAAAATATATGAGGGTGGATCCCGTAACATGATTGATGAAGCATTGTTAATAAATTTTTTAATAATGTTGTCTCATTAATCTAAAATTCGATGCACCCATATATTTGTAGTCATCTCTACAATCCCAATTTGCTTTGTTCGGGACCAGCAATACAATTTAAAAAAATAAGTTTATAGATTTACTCGGCAGTAAATAAACCAATTAATTAGTCTGATATATAAAAGCCACAATGTCACGTTCCCTCGTGTTCTCTCCTCTCTTTTATTTTCCTACGGAAGGTAAACGTAGAATAGAAAGTAGATGAAATCAAGTAAAACATGACTTAAATCACAAGTGAAGAAAATACAGTAAGTCATATGATTTCCAATTATTAGGCCACAAAGGAACTGAAAAAGAAGAGGAAGAGAAAACACTTCCATCGTTCCCCTTTCTCAGTAAGCGCTATTAAATGAAAGGGTAACAGGACAATTTCTGTTGAGCAATTCTTCTATCATTTGCAGCGCAATTCTCTCCTCCTCATCCATCTGCCTTCTCACAAGTTCTTGCCTTGCCACTTGTTGAGACTGTTCACGTTCAGAAAACGAAGAAGAAGAAGGTAGAGAACTATCACCATCTTCATTGGCTCTCTTTTTCCCCAACTGAACCATCATCACCCAATTCGAATCAGAACGCTGGCCCGCACGTTTTTGCCACACTCCAATGTGGGAATTCTCGGTGTCGAGCCTCAGGCATGTCATAGAAGGGGAGGGAAGTTTCCCGCATTTTCGAAGCTTCGCGTGAAGAATCTCTTCCATTTCCTTTGAGATAGATGGGGTTTCTTCTGCGGTTTTTGGTGTTTCGAGTATTGGGAAATTTGTTTTCGCATTTCGCCCACTCATCAATATAGCTGCTTGGTCATATGCTCGTGCCGCTTCTTCCGCTGTATCAAACGTGCCTAGCCACACCCTCCTCTTCCTGTTTCATGTCCCATCCGTATAAAGTTTTATTTCATTTGTAATAATAAATATACTTTTTATATACAGCTCTCAAATTGCACATGAAAAGTAAATAAATAATAGTTTTCTTAAGGTCTATTCAAAGTATATATAATAAAAATTTAACATAGTATTTTTTATTAAAAATTATAACGTTTAATATTAATTGATTAGATTTTGTTACATGATTTTACTAAAAGTTGAAAACAGAGATACAATCGCTTTAGTTGCTAAGTTTAATTTGTAAATTTTTTTAGAAAATGTTATTTATTTTATTTCGTCTGCTGGTTACATTTTGTAAAATTTGAGTTTATGGCGAGGATTTTGTGAAACGAAGGTATAAGTATGTAACGGTTATAATTGCTGCGCGAAAATGGGAATTTCCAAGAGAAAACAGAGGGTGAAAGAGGAGAGGATTATGTGTGAATAAATTTCTAACTCGTGAGCTTACGAAAGATGAAGAGGGGGCGGAGCTTACAGAAGTGGGTGGCGAATTTCGGATACCCATGAACCCCAATGACGCTGCCTGACACCTCTGAACTTCCTTGATTGCACCATGATGGTTTCGTTATCGCTGGAGAGAGAAAGGGATATGCTTCACCCAATTTTGATTTCGCAGTGTTTATAATAAGTACACAAGGAATAGAATGCCTAGATATAAAGGGAGAAAAGTAAGACGAGGGAAGTGAGTTTAATCAAAAGAGGGGGCCATCTAAAAGGCTTCTTTTGCTGAAATTAAACATGGTCACCAAATCCTTCCCTCAAAAGTAACTCTTCAATTAATGCTGGTGTTTGAGTTGCTGTCCACTCATCCCAATCTTTACACTTCTAGATGTAAAATTAACGTTCAACATCTATTGGGATTATTAATTGAAATAAAATTTTAATTTTGATTAACACAAAACAAAATACTTAAATTTTACTCCTAATTCCTTAATTTTACTGTCCCTTTGGGTAACAAGCGTCGGCTTTGTGCTATTATGATAAGCAGATATCAATTTGAAAATACCAGAGGTCTATGCTATCATTGTATACATAGGGAATGACCATAATTTTTCATGCACAAGAAATCCTGGAAAATTTCGTTTGCTCTGGTCGTTCTTGCACCTAAACCTACTCAAACTACTGGGCTAATTTACAAGCCAAACACAAGGGTTAAAATATCGTTAATATCTATAATGTATATTCTTGCAAGTTCAAATTGTTAGGGGATCAGACAGCACATGTAATACATGAAAGCGGAAGACTAATGACGAAGTTGACACCCAGTCGGATTCTATTATTTGCCATTATTATGTACTAAATTCAAATTATTACACAATGGCTAACTTGCTGTAAAGGGCTAAATTCAAAGGTGGTTGGTGAAGATAATTATATCAAGTTATATGGTAGTTCGTACATAAAAGTCCGAAATCACAGTTTAATATCCACATCTAGTACGAGAGTTATGACAACTGATTTTATTTTCATTTAACTATATATAAAATGTCCACGAGTAATTTATTCGTTTTCGTAAGGAAAAAGTGGGTCTAAACTATAATGTAACTTTTAAATGGACGTCGGAAAATTTTATTCCCTTGAGTAAATTTAAATGATTCGGCTTCGTAGAGACTTAAAGTGACTTTTAAACATTAAAGTATCGTAAAAGCGAAAAAGAAGGAAGAGGATGTTGAAAAGATGAAGTAGACGTGGACGAACTAGAATGGTGATCATGAAACGAGAGTTGCAATTAAGGATATATATGTTACGGGTTCAAGAGCCAAAGGATGTAATTGAAAATTGAATTATGGAAGACAAGTGGCGAACATGGGTTGTGGGAGAGGAGTCAACTTTGGTGGTGTTGGATGCTAATCGACACATCCTCCTTAATAAAGAGAACTTGGTTTTTATAAAGTCATCGATCAAAAAGTGTCTTTCAAGTTTAAAAAAATTTAAAATTAATCTTTACTTGCAATTTGCGATTGTCACTAACTCAAAAATTTAAGTGGTTAAACAATCATCAATACAGAATGAATAAATTTTCACATCATATATATATTTAAGAAATATTTCTCCCTGAAAATATAATATTTTATTATTTCAGTCTCTAAAACTTTAATTCATTTTAATTTATAAAAGTTATATAAATATTTATGCTTTTTCATCTTTGACAATAAATTAAAATCATATTATTTTTATTAAATATAAAAAATAAAAACAAATATACTTTTATAAAATCTAAAATCTAATAATATTCATAACTAAAATTACATTTAAATTAATATTTAAAATATTATATTTATGATTACACACGTTTTAACCGTTAATGTATAATTGAATTTTAAATAATTCACATGTGAGAAAATACAGCTAGTTAAGTATCTCTTTACTTACATTGAATGACTAAACATGACATAAATCTAAATTTTATAACTTGCACATAAACTAGGGAATGAAGTATGATCATAAATTTTTTAAAATAAAAAATAAAAGAAAAAATGATTTTTTTTGTTATAATATGAACTTGAATGAGATATTTGACTGTCATAAAAAATTGAAGATGTATCATTGATTGATCTAGCATGAAATGCTTTCTTTTGATATATGTGTAAGGTGAACTAAGTCTAAGTATGCTCTAATTTAGACAATTCAATCAAAGAGAGAGAGAGGGGTAAGAAAAACTTCCCCTATCAATAGGGGTAGTTGGTCAATCCAAAAGTGGTCTTCTCTTGTGCATGTTCTTGCAAGTTCTCATGAAAAACCTTGAGTTGATGCCTATTAACCTTGAAGTTCCTTTGAGATCTGATATCTTGAAGTTCAACAACACCATAAAAAAAAATATTATCAACAAGAAGGGGACCATCTCATCTAGATCTTAATTTACTAGGCATCAACTTAAGTCTATAATTATATAACATGATTTTTTCATCAATATGAAATTCTTTACGCCCTATTATCTTATCATAAAAAGTCTTGGTGCGCTTCTTGTAGATGTTTCATATGCTTCCTTACAAATCTCCTCCAAAATTTGAAATTGAAGCTTTCTATGTAAACCAGCTGCCTCCATATCCAAATTGCATCACTTGATCGCCTAGAATGCCTTATGTAACACCTTAAATTTTATTTCTAAAATAAATAAATTTCGTAAAAATGGAAATAATAAATTTTCATTCAAATGATTTCCAAAGTATGGTTCAACAAAATATTCCAAAATAATAAGTGTTTATAAATTTTGATCAAGGAAACTGCTACAGGACTAATTCAAGTACATTAAAATTCTAAAATAAAATTTGAGAGTCCTATAGCAGTATCATCCATTCCCTCACTAAGTCCGGTGTTGATCGTCTTGGTCACTTGAAAAATAAATGTAAAAGTGAGTACTTTACACTATCCAACACACAATCAAATATAGTCTCACCTTGCACATGCATCGCATCATTTTAAATACAATTGACCCAGGTATAATCACAAGCAACAATATCAAGTAATTCATTTCATTTCACAACCGGTGCGTTCACTACACCAACAACAATATTTCATGCACAAGTGCACTCGCTGCACTTAGCCATGCTCATTGTGGCACTGTGATCACAGTTTCACACCATGGATGGTCGCTGGTTACCCCTGCCTTGGCAATCGCGTGGTCAGGAGGAGAGTGTGTGGCCTGTAGTGCACCCACGTTCACTGTTGGTGTCACCACCACTCTTTCTTTCTCGAGGTATTTCTACCGTCCCCATCTTTTACACCACCAGTGTATCGCTGAACCATTCTTAGCATCAGTACAACAAAATTTAACATGCCCTATTCACACACTTTCAATTGTACACAATACTCATATTTGTATATGGCACTCAGACCTATATTCATTCACATTACACGGCATTCAGGCCCATAATCATTTACAGTACACGGCACACAGGACCATATTCATTTACATTTATTAAATCACCAATCAATGGTATTTCATAATACCCAATCACCCACAATGGTTCAACTAACTCATCACACATCACATTGCATTCAAACATACAATAATTTCCATCAAAATACACGTTTTCTACCCTCTATCTCAGCTACATTACAATATTTAACAGAATAAATGGAAATTAAACACAATGAGATAAGGTAGAGTCCTCCCTTACCTCAATTCGAAGACCCACAACGTGAATCAACACTAGAATCGTCCCCCACACAGGTTTCGTCCTAATTACATGGAGAATTTCTATGAGAATTAAAAGAGAACCATGAAAATAGAGAATGGGGTTGAGAAACCAAAACCCTAACCATAAAACTTCCCTCCAAACACCTCAAACGTGAATCCAACCTTCAATCTTACTCTCAAATGGCTTTGGAGGTCATTTAATTGGTGAAATAAGGCTTGAATTTAGAAAATTGAAGAAATTTTGAAGGGAGATATAAGAAATGAGATTTACAAACTGTAAACCCCTTTAAATCCCTTCCTGGTTGCAAAGTCCCCTTACTGCAGTGACACTTTCTCTTGCTACAGCGAAAATCTCAGAGAAAACTACGCCTTGATTTTTTGCACAATCTTGCTATAGCGAGACTGCACCCAGAAATGCACTCCAAACTGTCGCTCTCTCGCTACAACGAGAAGGCAACAGTTTCACGCCTTCCTCCTAGGGCCCTCTCGCTACAGTGAGGCATCTCTTGTTACACCTTATGCTCCACCTATACTGGTAGATGACATGTCTTGCCAAAGATTACCCAATAAGGAGACATTCCTATAGGTGTCTTGTAGGCAGTCCTGTAAGCCCAAAGAGCTTCCTCCAAGCGCATGCTCCAATCCTTCTTATTGGGTTGGATAGTCTTCTCCAAGATTTGCTTAATTGTCCGATTGGAGATTTCTACTTGTCCGTTATTTTGCGGGTGGTATGGTGTGGAAACTCTATGCACAACCCCAAACTTTCGAAGTAAGGCATTCAATGTGCGATTGCAAAAGTGTGATCCCTAGTCACTGATCAATGCTTTAGGGAAGCCAAACCTGCAGAAAACATATGGTTTGACAAAATCTACAATAATACAAGCATCATCAATACAAGTGGCCTTTATCTCCACCCACTTGAAGACATAGTCCATTACTAACAAAATATAAACAAAACCAAATGAAACAAAAAAAGGACCCATAAAATTTATACCCCATACATCAAACACCTCAAAGAAAAGAATAAGTAGTTGGGGCATCTCATTCCTGCACAAGATATTCGCAGTCCTTTGGCATTGCTCGCTTGTGTTACAAAAAGTGTGTGCATTTCGAAACATAGTAGGTGATGAATCCACATTTTGCTAATATTTTAGTTATCTTTTCAATAGATTTTTAATAGAAAAATGAAGTTACAAAATGTAAATACCATAAAAATGTTGTTTCTGTTATTAATTTCAAATTTATCTAAATTTAGTTCAATTTACATAGTTTTATAATTTTCTTTTGAAAATATACTGATTGGAATAATTGTGTAGGAAATTCTGGGCAAGGATCCATGGAATTTGAGCTTTTAAGAGAAAACTAGGTAGAAGTAATCACTTCTACCACCCAAAGTAACTATTCTAGCAAACACTCT